CGTGATATTTATCAAATATTGTTATATATTGAGAAAAATATATATTTAATTATAAAAGAGAATTAAAATAATAAACACTCAAAAGTATCGAAAATTGGTACCGTTAAGTACCGGTATCGATTCGTAGGTACCGGTAATTAGTACCGGATCGATTCAAATGTCAAAGGTACCCATCCCTACCGGTAAACTGAATCGAACTTGATGTGCTAATGAACGTTTCTCTGGCCTACAGGTCAGGTTTTTTTCCCCATGTTGAACTGATCTTCTTCATATTGAAGTGGCGAGCTGGTAGGACCATTCTTTCTTCTTGGAATCGGGAAATTAGCTATTATTTACCCCATGAAAAACGGAGCGGCAGCGGGCCGCTGGAGGTGCCCTGCTAGTATGATCCCGTTTAAACTGTAAACTGCCATAAAATAAAAACTATAATAGCTAGAGCAGTCTTTTTTTAGCTGAAAGTTGAGACTCTCGCCTTTCAGCACATCTGTACTGTACAAGTCGATGATGCCATCATGTTGCGTTAAGTGTGTCTATTTCAGTAGAACTTTGACAAGTGGTGAGAAGGTGGCCAGGAGCTGGATGTTGTATTCAGTTAGCAAATGTTATATATACACTCCACGCAATTTGAAACAAAGTTGTAGGTGTGATGTTTTTTCTTGTGTGTGTGGGGGGGGCGTCACAGGGGGATCTCGCACAGGGCACCATTTAGGCCAGCTCTGCCTCTGTGGAGCAGCAGGAGGGTCAGTGCACCGCTGACGCCGTCAAACGCTCCGCTACTCTGGGTGGCACCACTGCGGGCAAAGCTGAATGTAAAAGCGGCTCTCGGCACACAGACGGGCAGCCACACTGGGTGCAGTTTGACACTAACAGCATATGCAGCTCCAGTAATCGCTGCTTGCAGTTGGGGTTTCTCATTACCCCAGCACCTGAAATGCCATACCAAAGCTGTCCTCCTGAAAGAGCAGGCAGATGCCTTTTATTAGATGACTCACCCCACCCTGTGATCACTCTAATGCAGGGGTGTCAAACTCAAACGGGGCCAAAATGAAACTCTGGGACGGAGTCGAGGGCCAAACTTAATATTTTTTTTAAAAGTGACGGCAAAATTGCACATTTTCTTTATCAACATACCGTAAATCCTCCAATACAGGCCGGTATTCAATTAAAGGCCGGGTCTACAATTGTGGCCGGTGTCAGAGTCAGTTGAGGTAATTAATGGCCGGTCTCTTATTGTGGCCAGGTGGAATGTAGTAACAAGCAAGTATGAGCATCCCAGCGGCAGGGTTATAGTCCCCAAATCAACCAGCAGGAGGCAGTAGAGGTTCACGCAGATCTTTATTAGGCTTTTTCTTCAACGCTTTGTAACGCTACAGACACGATCCTCTATCATGCTCCTACCACACAGAGTCACGGTGTCAGTTAACCATGCTAATTCAACCCACTCCACAGAACACACATCACCTTCCCTGTGGCTTACATAACACTCACACAACACGCAAATCAGCACATAGGAACTAGCAGAATGATAGGAAACACATATAACACAATACCCAGAATGCACCTGGCTTACAACCCCAGCCAGGTCATTACACTATCAAGTTCAAAGAGAACGTGCTGATTATGCTGCAGAACACTCTGGAGAGCAGCAGTAGGGGTTGTATGAACTAGTCGACTTCACTATAGTGACTTTTTATGCCTGTCGTCGACTAGTCGCTGTCACGTGATAATGACCGGCAAGATGCAGCCCTCGGAAAAGACAGCAGCCTGCTGTCAGCAGGTGACAAGCTCCTGCGCTCGGGGGGGGGGGGGGGGGGGGGGTAGGGGGGGGGGGGGCAACGCGCTGTGCCAGACCGTAGGCACTGACACGCGATCGTTCATGTCGGTTCATTTCCTTTAATGTTTTCTGTCTTTTATTTGCGCCTGATGTGTATCGCTGCTGTGGAGCGGGGCGCATCAACTTGTCCTCCGACGCACAGATCACTGATGCGGCCGGCAAGCAGGGAGCGCTCCGCTGTTTTCGCGGTCGGTAGATCTGCCTCCTGAGCACGGCCACAGTAACAATCAGGTGTCGCCACCTCAAAAACTAATTTAACACGCGATCGTTCATGTCAGTTCATTTCCTTTAATGTTTTGTGTCTTTTATTTGCCTGATGCGTTTGCTGCATGCTGTGGAGCGGGGCGCTGCGCGCATCACCTTGTCCTCCGACACACTGATCACTGATACGGCCGACAAACAGCGAGCACTCCGCTGTTTTTGCGGTCGGTAGATCTTTTAGAACTGCAGTTCAAAGGTAACTCATGAGGTGAATATATATGAAGCCAGGTAGCAGTTTTTCTTTAGGATTGAGAGGAGATGCAGGAAGATAATAAACAGACAGGACAGAAAAATAGTCAAATAAAAACAAGTTAGTTTTTGTACCTGCTGTTGCAACAAACAGCCACCATTGAAGGTCATCAGAAGTGAGGAACAGAAAATGAAATAATTATTTTAATGTTTAGAGCAGCAGGAACTCCGAGAGGCTGCAGGCGCATCAGTGAGTTTGCGGCCGCTGCGCAGGGGGAGGGGGGAGAGGGCTAAAGCAGGGGGAGGGGGGAGAGGGCTAAAGCAGGGGGAGGGGGGAGATGGCTGAAGCAGAAACTACCGTTGTTAAAAGAAATGTGTTTAACTTTGAAAATGTGGGCGCAATTTTAATTGTCAAAAACTCCAATGAACATTAGTTCATTTTGCTCAAATGGAAATAGAGGCCTGCCTCTAATACTGGCCCTCCTTCCAATAAAGGCCTGGAGCTTGCTGAGCTTGAGTCAAATAGAGGCCCGGGCCTGTATTAGAGGATTTACGGTATATGTAATTTTGAACCTTTTAATTTGGAAACAAACATATTTCTGCATTAACACTGAATGTTGAATAACCAAATTACACACGAGCAAGTCAGTTTTAAATAAAAGGCATCAGTGGTATTCATTACTTGTGGTATAATCAGCATTTTAAAATCTATTCAGGATTTATGTTTTCTTGTTTATTCATTTTTCTTAGTTTTTATTCTCCTTTTTTCTCCTGTAATACGTGTCATCGCTGCTGTGACGTCTAGCTTTCCCCACTGAGGAACAATAAAGGGATTTTCTATTCTATTCATCTATCTGCAGCCTTTCCACTTCCTGTTTACTGCAGGTTAAATCTTTTCTCACGGGCCAACAACAAAATAAAAATATCATTTTATCTTAAATGAAAATGCACCATTTCACCTGTTAACTTTCATGTTTTGGAGCAGAAAAAGAGCATAAAACCAACATATTTAAAGCTCAGTTTGCTCCACTGGTTTACTGTGATGCTCACCTGTTCCAGCCAGATACCTGCATCATGGGGTTGATCTGAGCTGAGCAGGAGACTCCTGTTGTTTTGTTCATCTTCATCATAATAATGACAACATTAGATGACAACAGGTGCTCACATACGTTTGTGCTGCTGAACATGCCTGAGCAGCTTGACCACGTTGTTGTGTGTCGGGGAGGAAACACAACAGCAGCAGCCACAGAGCCGTGCTGGTTTGAGCGTGTCGCTGCTCGCTGGAGTTATATCAGCTCTGTCTAGACGTTAGTTAGAAAACTTTCTCTTTCAGTCGTGAACACATTACTGGGCGGTTAGAATCTCCGTTTCTGGGCTTCAACGTCAGAAAATAGCTGAGTGAACTCGGTGCTGAGTGAGAGGAGTGTTTAGTTTGTCCGAGACGCGGAGCTGCAGACACCGGCAGCAGGCGCTGGAAAAAACACAAAGGAGGGGGCGCGTCGGCTCTGCGCTAATGCCGCAAAGCATCATGGGAGTTGAAGTCTTTGCGGTAAAATTGGCCAGCGGGCCAGTTTTAATATATTTTTGATATTTATCTCGCGGGCCACATAAAAATGCTCCGCGGGCCTTGTGTCTGACATATGTGCTCTAATGTGAGCCACCTGGCTCCCTACTGGGATGGGACCAGACGAGATCTGTCTGTCCCATCACGTTATTATTTTTATTAAACTTGGTAAACGTTTCATTTTAACTTTGAGCAGTGCTCAAAATTAAGATTTCAACATTAAATTAAGTGTTGAAAAACTGATTAGTTCATAAATGTTGTGGGTAGGGCTGTCGCGGTAACCGCAAAAATGAAATATCGCAATATGAAGAAGCCCACCGCACTGCATCATGGGCCACCGCGATTACTGAACTTGGTTCAACTCAATGATGCATGTTGAGAAGGATGGCTGCACTGGTATCAAAACGAAACGTTACTTCGCTCCTTTGGGAGCACTTTGGTTTTCAGTACGTCAGCTGCTGCGCAGCCAGAGTCCTTGGCCGAGACAGAGCTGCAGCGGCAAAAATATATAAATAAATAAACGCTCGGAGACCTGCTGAAGTCCCGGACAAGCACTGCTTCTGCAGCCGTCCTGAAGAGAGTGTGAGCCGAGCTGGAGCTCACTCGCTACCTGCAGGAGGAATGCATCCACCCTAAAGAAACCCCCCTGACATGGTGGAGCAACAACCGGGAGAGATTCCCTTTGCTCGCCAGAGTCGCACGCAGGTATGTGTGCGTTAGTGCACTGAGCGCACCATCCGAGAGGGTTTTCAGTGTTGCTGGAAATGTTGCCACCCCTCTCAGATCCTCTCTCAAACCGTATATGGTTAACATGCTGGTTTTCCTTGTAGGTAACAAGGACGTGACCCCGAGCTATAAATCACCGTCATTCGTGTGTGTGTGAAAGTGAACGTGAAATGATAGTGCGCCCGCCCCCCGGCGCGCGCGCGCCCGGTACATGTAATTTTTTATGCTTGATTTTAAACAACTAAACAAAATGGGGACTTGTTTCTTATTTGTTAGATGCTGCAGCCAAATTTGCATTTAAAAGTTTAACCTCCTGAATTTTGTTGTTTTTAAGTTCAGTCGGACTCCGACTGTCGGAGAAACAAACGTTACTGCGATCTGTGTTGTTACTGCCCTTTAATCTGCATTCAGTAAAGTGAAGGCACGGCAATTTTTAACCTTTTTTAAATGTGTAAACATTATGTTTAGATAGTACTGCAATAAAAAAAAGGGCTGCAATAATATCGCACACCGCAATATTAAGCCACCCTGAATCACCGCAGGGGGAATTCCTCAACCGCGACAGCCCTAGTTGTGGGTCCACTGTTGTTATTAATGATAATTTATCATCCAGATTAGATGAAAAAGATCCATATATCTGCCATTAAATCAGCCATCAGCTGACCGTGACTGCCATCTTTGGGCACAGGTAGAAAAATCAATATGGGTCGACCTCTAGGCAGAAAAGCATAAGCCATGTAAAGTTAGTTCACTGGTCATCCAACTTAAAGGTTGGCTAGAGAATGGAAGACTTGTTCAGCTCTGCTCACACAGCTGGATTACTTTACTTCCCTAGGTCTGCATGTTATGATAAATGACCCACAGTAGTACAGCGCCTTTCAGAGTCAGAGGACTCCAAAGCACTTTACCCTACAGTGTATCATTCATCCATTCACACACGTTCACACACTGATGGTGATGAGCTACGATGTAGCCACAGCTGCCTTGGGGCACTCTGACAGAGGCGAGGCTGCTGAGCACAGGTGCCACTGGTCCCTCCGACCACCACCAGCAGGCAAGGCGATTTAAGTGTCTTGCCCAAGGACACAACAGCGGAATTCTCTATCCGGAGCCGGGATTGAACCTGCAACCTTCCGATTACTGAAAAGCAGCATCTATGACTCACATCAGAAGGTTTGTGCAGTAGCAGTCACACATTTGATCTGCGGTAAGGAAAATGTTAATACAAGTGTTTGAATCGGTTATTCTTCAAATGGAGCAAAACGATTAGAGCAGGAACTCCGTATTTTGTAACTTGCAGTAAAGGATTAGAGTTCCTGCTTTGAAGAATGAGAGAAATGTATCAGTAGTTTTGTGTCTGTGAGTGACAGTAAAATAAGCACGTTATTTTTTCATACACAAGTATGTGGATGAGTTTGTCAACATTTGTTTTGGATCACTGTAACTGTAAGCTTTTGTTGATGAGAATGTCCTTGTACCTAAGATTTAGAGTAGGTGCAGCTGTGGAAAATAGAGTTTTACTGGATTTCTCTCTGACTTCAGTTTCTCTCAACTTTCCCATTTCCTTCGTGTCTCTTCTGTTGCAGTGGAACTAGCATGCTGCAGTAACCCGTACTTGATACTTTGTGTACATACTCACCAGTTTCTTGATTCCATTGTGTTTTCTGACCGTTCTTCTCGCTCTGCGGAACTGAGCTGCATTAGCAATGGCCACCGCAGCTAAAGCCTTCAGCTGCTGTACACCTGAGTCCAGAATCATCACCATGTGCTGCAGGCCTCCCAAGTCTACAACAGTCTGCCGCATTTGAACGCTTTGACAGAGTTCCCTCAGCAGTTTTAGAGACCCAGTCTAATAATAAAAGATGTAAAGAAGAAAAAACATCAAAAGTTTAAATTATTGCATATATTTAATTATTGTTTGTGCCTTTGAGTACTAGTATTTACAGGTATTTCATTTTTTTATTTCATTCTCTTATTTCTTTCATTTGCCATGTGCAGGAGTAACAACTAAAGGGGAAAGAGGAGGGTGAAGAAGAGAGAAAGAAATCTGTTTTGGGGAGTTTTGTAAAGAAAATGTGAACTTGGCACTATAATAACCATTCTGTTCTGTTTTGCAATGTATTTAAAAATATATATATCATGACTGAAATAGAATATAATTACTGGAATAAAAAATTTTTTCCATATGCCTTCTGAGTCAGAATCTCCTATGTTCCAGGCTGGATTCAAACCCAGGTCCTCAGTGTGAAAGGCCTTACCAGTTCAGGTATTTCTTTGACATGCACAGGATGTTACCCAGTGGATATACTCTTACAACTGATTCACAACATGCTATTTGTTGAACTACACGTAACAAATTGTCAAAATAACATAACCCCAGATATCTGTAGAAGTGTTCAAATGTATCTGAATGGATTTTTAGGAAATGTTCTGTTACATATTTTTTCTACCAATAAAGCTGCCCTACCATGACCATCTTTGGCCGTGGGCATCACGTTGCTGCAGTGATTATGTTTGCTGGGAATGGTTATTAAAAGCAATGGGTTCACATTTTCTGCAAAAAAACACCTCAAGATCTGGCTGTATACATAAAACCCTGCAGCAAGGGAAAAGAGTTTCCTACATGAGCCCTTCCAGCCAATCAGAAGCGAGAAAGGCGGGACTTTCCTTGGACATCCTACAATTCCAAATGACACTTCCAGGGAGAGAGGGGGAGCGGGAGGGAAACTGTACCGATGACATGAAATCGTACCAGCTCCAGTCAATCACACATTTAAAATGCAGTAGCCAAATTTCAACCCACAGGGGGCAGCACTAACATATTTTTAGACCTAGATTCTTGAGTTAATCTAGTTTACACAGACATGTCAAAAAATGCACAGAAACAGAAACACTGCATTGGTAAAGACCCAATTATACAGTTTTTAATTTCATCATTTATTTTGGGGTTTATTTACAAGCAATGCCAAGATTGGGCCAAGCAATGGCTTAGCAACCCCAATTCTTATTGTTACATTAAAATGTTTTAAAAACCACTTAACAGTCTCGTGGCCTGCTGATGAGTAAAAAATGAACACAAGTCCAAGGCTATCTTTGCCAGTAGGGCTGTGAAATAGGTATTAAATTTTATGTAAATGGTCGTAAAAAGACTTGAATTTAACTTGAAGAAAAATGTAGAAACCCTGTTTGAATTAGTTTTATTGGTGGATACACACACACCGTTGAAAACCAAACCCCAGAAAGGACACAGCAAACACAGAAAGAGATGTCACCACCAGCTGGAAGCTTTCAGCTGCTGAAGAAAATAAAAAAAATAACAATGAAAATATCTAAATGGATCCTTTAGCTGTAAAATTTGGAAGACTCCCTCTCTCCTCTTTCCTTTGGTGGTGGTGAGGTTTCTGAAACACAATATTTGAGCTATGGCAGTGGTAGTTCCATGAATGCACCAGGTTGTAATGAGATGTTGCAATGCAGTTTGGGAACCACAACAACAGTACTCACAGGAAAAGAAAATATACGTCTTTTGTTGTGAATGCATGAAGATAAGTGCATACCTGGATTTATACAATGGGAAGAGCACATACTGACCATGCATCTCTCTTCACCGGTGTCCAGCAAGTTAACGAGGATCTGGAGACCACCAGTGTCCTGGAGGGCCAGTTGGAACGTCTCGTTTGTCCAGTCCAAGTCCAGCAGGGCAACAATAACAAGCACAGTGGCCATCTGATCACCTGCCTAAGATAAAAATGCCAAGAAATGAAAACCAAGAAGTCTGGCTGGATGACAGAAATACGCATATAGATAACAAAATAATTCATATTGATTGATATCAATAATTATTCAAAATACTTTATTAAAATTTAGAAAATGTGATTCATTGTCAGATTCTGATTTGTCTACATTTATAAATAGTAGTTAATAAAGACTAGCTCACTTCCTGGGTGTGTCAATTCTCAACCAGCTCAATTGGTTAGGCCGACTGGGTGAGCAAACATTTAGAACCATACTCTCTTTTGACTCAAGGTCAAAGCCTCTCTGCAATGCTTGCTAGTGGTATCAGACAATACAGCTCCTCAGATGTGGAAAGTCTAGCTAGCAGACCCTGGTAGCATGTTATGGCTGGTGATCACTGAATTCAAAGGGGAGCCACCGGTGACCTCACCAATCTGGCTGCCTTTCCTCCAGACTGCCGAGAGCTACCTTCCAGCATGGGTATCGTAGACCTGCACACTGGCGTGGAATGATTTGTCATGAATAATCTATAGCTTGTTAAATCATACTGTCAAACAGATTTTACAACTCAGACATCACAAGATCTCTCAGATACTTAATAAGGTTTTGCTACAAAACATCTGGTTTACATTCCATAATTTCATTCAGGAAGAGCAGAGACTGATCAGAGATCAGATCTCTGATAGGTGTCATTCAGACACAGCTACAGCAGCGTTGTAGTTGTAGTTCTGTACCATCCAGGAAACAATACTAGGGAGGAAAGTTGTTTCCAGTAAGTTACGATTGAAGGTCATGAACTTTGCTTTACTTATGTCTAATGACCTTCTGACTCATACTGATGCAGGACACTGTTCTGTTCTGGTCCTGCTGGACCTGACTGCAGCCTTTGACACTGTTGACCATCACCTGCTACTGGAGAGGCTGAGAGACTGGGTAGGCCTATCAGGAACTGCTCTGGAGTGGTTCTCCTCTTATCTTTCTGAGCGTTCCTTTTCTGTGGCCGTCTCCAAGTTTAGGTCTTCCACCATCTCTCTTACCCATGGTTCTGTGCTGGGGCCTCTGCTCTTCCTCCTCTACCTGCTTCCTCTTCAGCACATCTTGAGCTCCTTCAAAGGAATCTCCTACCATCTTTATGCAGATGACATCCAGCTGTACATCTCCTTTAAGTCCCATGAGATGTCTAAGCTGCAGCTGTTACACACCTGCTTAGACTCTATCAAAGCCTGGATGGCTGGGAGCTTTCTTCAGCTGAATGAAGATAAGACTGAGATCTTCATCTGTGCCCCAGACAAGCTGGTTCCCAAAGTCAGAGACTCTCTTGGTCAGTTTGCTTCTCACACCAAACCTTCCGTCAGGAATCCTGGTGTGACCTTTGACCCAGCTCTCACCCTGGATTCTCATGTCAGTTCTCTTGTTCGCTCTTCCTTCTTCCATCTCAGGAACATTGCTAAGCTGAGTCCCATTCTGTCCCGCTCTGAACTTGAGACTGTTCTCCACACCTTCATCTCCTCACGCTTAGACTACTGTAACTCTCTTTTCACGTGTCTGAGCAGAACCTCCCTGAACCGTCTACAGATGGTTCAGAACGCCTGTGCTCGGCTTCTGACCAAGTCCTCCAAACACACCCACATCACCCCGCTTCTCCTCCAGCTTCACTGGCTGCCAGTCAACTTCAGGGTTCATTTCAAGATCCTGGTTCTGGTCTATAGGGCCTTACATGAACAAGCACCATCTTACATTGGTGATCTTCTTAGTCCCTACACCCCCAGCAGGTCCCTGAGGTCCAGTGATCAAAACCTACTGGTTGTGAGGCGCACCAGGCTAAAGACCAAAGGTGACAGATCATTTGCTGCTGTGGCCCCCTAGACTCTCAAACTCTCTCCCCCTGAGTCTGAGATCAGTGGACTCAGTGGACTCCTTTAAAAAGCAGCTGAAGACTCACTTGTTCAAGCTGGCTTTTGTATGACCTTCTTCACCACTCTCTCTTTGTTCTGCTCTCCCCACCTATTCCACCTTCCTCAGGATCCACTGATTTCCCTCTTTCCTGTTCACTCTCTTTCTTTCTTAACTTTTTTAAATCACAATTGCCTATTTTTGCTCATTTTAAATATATTTTTAAACATTTTCTAAATGCTTTTTTTTATATTTGTACATTTTTTGTTTTTGTGAAGCCCCTCATGATTTTTCTCTTGAGAGGCGCTATAGAAATAATACTTTCTTCTTCTTCTTCTTCTGTTCTCACTGTTTGCATCCGACCTAAGATATAACTTCTGAACCATGCCACTGATGCCTGAGAAAGCCCTATGTGTTTGAGTCTGCACATTATGCTTGATCAATGCGCATCTCTTACTCATTGTGTGAGGTTTAAGAACTCTGCAACCGAGCCAGGTTTGGACTTCATGTCTGTTGGGTTATTTTGGGTCCGGGTTGATTTTGTCTGTGTGTGTGTGTGTGTGCATGTGCACATGTGTTGGAGAGAGAAGTACAGTAGGTTTGGGGGAAATCCTCATCAGGGAGGCGTCCAGGAGGCCTTCTAACCAGATGCTTGAGCCACCTCAACTGGCTACTCTTGATGTGGAGGAGCATTAGATCTACTCCGAGCCCCACCCAGAAGACTATTTCCCACTGGAAGCATCAGTGGCATGGAACAGCAGCGGAACGGCAGCGGAACGGCACTGCTTCAAATAGAATCCAATATAGCCTTTGGGGTGTTTCAAACCAGCTACGGCAATTTTCATGCACGTTTCAGAAGCGGCATGCTGCGCCAGTTCTGGGACATGCCAATTTCTGCAGTTAATGTAGGACTAGACAGGAAATCACACTTGGTTTCAGTGTAAAATCTTAAACAATTTTCAAAATAAAAGTACTGCACCAATACAGTTTCATATATCTGTAGCTTACATGTGACCTAAAGGCTTATTTACTCCCTGCATTGGTCCAGAAGTGCAGCAATGTGTTTTTCATGGCTTTAACCATGGCAGTGGAGAGGAACAACATCATATTTGGCATCAAACAGCGATATCAAATGTGATTTCCTTTTTTTGGTTTAATGGCAAATTTAAAAATCAAACCGTGACCTTTGAAGTCTCGAATTGTAATCTTGTGAGTCCAGCTAGGAGAAAGGCAGAAGTCTCAAGGGATTTTGTGATCTCGTGAGTCCAATAAGGAGCACAACGAGGAAGTTGTTCTGCGGCCAAGACTCTCCCGGTGTATAATGGACCACATGGAAGCTCGCAAGTAAAAGTTCTGCTGCCATACCAGAGATCACATTCTGATGAAGCCAACAGGACCACATCATCTGCAAAAGGCAGATACCCGATCCTCAGGCCACCAAAACGGATGCCCTCAACACTTTGACTGCACCTAGAAATCCTGTCCATAAAAGTTATGAACAGAACTGGTGACAAACAGCAGCCTTGGCAGAGTGCAACTCTCACCAGGAATGAGCTCGAAATACTGCCAGCAATGCAGAAAAGCTCTTACGCTGGTCATACAGGGACCTAACAGGCCGTATCAGAGTGCCTGGTACCCCATACTCTCAGAGTAGCCCCCCAGAGGTCTCTCCAATGGACGCGGTTAAACACATTCTCCAAATCCTCAAAATACATGAAGATTGGTTGGGCGAACTCCCTCACACCCTCCACGACCTCTCTAAGGGTAAATAGCTGGTCAAGTGATCCATGGCCAGAACGAAAACCACATTGCTCCTCCTGAATCCGAAGTTTGACTATCCGACGGATCCTCCTCTCCAGAACACATTCTGTGGTCCCCCTTTTTAAATAGGGGAACCACCACCCCAGTCTACCAGTGAAACTTCCCCCAATGTCCTTGCAATACTGCAGAGCCGCCTTAAACAAAACAGCTGTTCAACATCCAGAGCATTAAGGAACTCTGGGCGGATCTCATCCACCTCGGGCCTTGCCACCGAGGAGCTTTTTTTCCACCTCAGTGACCTCGGTCCCAGAGATTTCATCTATTTCAAATAACAATCCTATGTTTTATTTCATGAAACTCCATTTGGTGCTGACCATATGTTTATCAGACTAAAGCAAAAACAAGCAGTTGATGCCTCATTATTGGGAATATTTTGTTTGATGAAACCAAAACTTTTAAATTGGAGCATTTAGAAATCTGTCCATAGTTAATGTTAGGTAAAGTAGATAGAGTAGATGTAACTCTGTGAAATCCCCCTGAATCAGTGCTTTGACCAAAACAGTTTGGATTAGGGATTCACTGGCAATGCACGGGCCGCCGCATGTCACTCAAGAACTCCCCTCCAGTTGTTGGGTCGTATTGATGAAGAGTAACAGAGTAGAGTAGAGAAAGAAGAAAGAACAGAATAAAGAAAAACAAGAAAAAGAATAGAGGAAAAGAAACAAGAAGAAAAGAGGGAAGAGAATTGGTAGAGACCAGGTAACAGAGGTGGCGCCGTGGTGTCACGGTCAACCACAACTGGGCCGGACTAGGCTTAACCTGGCTCCCCCAATTCCTCCTCCTAATTGTAGGAGAGGGAACGGGAGAGTAAAAGAGGTGAGAAGGGAAACAGCATAGGTTGTGGTGTGGTATCGACTCCACTTCTAAGTAAAGGCCTGTGCAGACTTTATCTGTAATGTAAACAGGTTATCTTTACCATGGCTCTAACCAGTCCAAAGAATGATCCTATCGCCATGATGTATTAGAATGTTTGTATCTGTTATTACCCAACAGGATATTAAAGCATAGAACATTAGTGATAGAGCATATCTTTGTAACAATGGACTTATGTACGCGTAGTTAATTGTAAAATACAGTCCCTATGTAATTAAAATACCGTATAGGCGTGATAATACGACCGTGACGCATTAGAATAATTTAAACGGGTTATCTTTATCCTGGCCCTAACCGGTCCAAAGAATGATTCTATCACCATGATGTATTAGAATGTTTGTATCTGTTATTACCCAACAGGATATTAAAGCATAGAACATTATATCTTTGTAACAACGGACTTATGTACGCGTAGTTAATTGTAAAATACAGTCCCTATGTAATTAAAATACCATATAGGCGTGATAATACGACCGTGACGCATTACAATAATTTAAACGGGTTATCTTTATCCTGGCCCTAACCGGTCCAAAGAATGATTCTATCACCATGATGTATTAGAATGTTTGTATCTGTTATTACCCAACAGGATATTAAAGCATAGAACATTATGTGATAGCGCGTATCTTTGTAACAATGGACTTATGTACATGTAGTTAATCGTAAAATCCAGTCCCTATGTAATTAAAATACCGTTCAGGCGTGCTGATTAAACGATGACTTATTAAAAGTTTTATGTCAATAATTACCCTACACCATGTGCTCCTACCTAGAGCATTATATAACAGCATGATCCTGTAGCAATGATGTAATATAATGTTTGTATCTCGTTATTACCCAACATGGTATTAAAGCATAGAATATTATGTGATAGCGCGTGTCTTTGTAACAATGGATTTATGCACATGTAGTTAATCGTAAAATCCAGTCCCTATGTAATTAAAATACCGTTCAGGCGTGCTGATTAAACGATGACTTATTAAAAGTTTTATGTCAATAATTACCCTACACCATGTGCTCCTACCTAGAGCATTATATGACAGCATGATCCTGTAGCAATGATGTAATATAATGTTTGTATCTCGTTATTACCCAACATGGTATTAAAGCATAGAATATTATGTGATAGCGCGTGTCTTTGTAACAATGGATTTATGCACATGTAGTTAATCGTAAAATCCAATCCCTATATAATTAAAATACCGTTCAGGCGTGATAGTTAGACCATGACTTATTGGAAATTTTGTGTCTAATATCTTTCTATACCAAATGGGACAATATGGAATATTACACGATAGCGTATTCCTCTGCACTAAGGGTCCTATGTAAGTGTGATAAATTGTAAAATCCAGCCTCTGTGTAGTGAAGGCACCGTTCGGATGTAATGATTAAGTCCTCTATACTGTTACAATATAATTGTACCTGTTTATCTATAAACTAAACCGGTTATCCTAAACATAACCGTAGACCGTCCTAAAAGGTCAGGGATAAAATGAGGGTTTAGGACAAGGGTGGGGCCAGGGTTAGGGTGAGAGAGGGAGGGGGGGTTGGGGTTGGTTAGGGTTAGGAGGGGGGTGGGGCCAAGGTTAAGGTGAGAGAGAGGGGGGTGTTTGGTTAGGGTTAGGATATGGATGGCCTAGGTGGCATTTAAAAGGAAATAAAAGAAGCAATTCAATTATGATTAAAAAGCCATTAAAAATATCTCAAGTAAAATAGAGATACCGTGCTACATAAGGTGCCAAGTTTACTGATACTAAAGACTAAAGTTTGACTCTATATAACAAGTGCGCGGAGAAAAGAATAGTTATTTTAATTGCCGCTAAGAGTTTATAATTAAATTCTAAAATTAGTGTGCATGGTAGGGCAAAATAAAGGGCTTATAGTGATTCCATACAGTAAAGGCGAAGAGGAGAGAAGATACAGTGTAATCATGGTCCAGCTCTTATAATTAGAATTTAAAATTAATAAACAACTTAGACGAAAATGAAGAGTTCATTTTGATTCCATACAGACGAGACGCGGAAGAAAGACTAGTTATCTTAATAACATCCAAGAGTCTATAGTTAAACTGTTAAAATCAGTGTGCAGGGTAGAGTAAAATAAAGGGTTTGTTATGATTCCATAGAGTAAGAGACGGGGACAGAAACAAACTCTTCAGACTTTATTGCTTCTGACAACTTTCAGCATTTTGGCGTTAATTCTACTGACAAAAGAAAACAGCAAAGTGATGTCATACCTTGAGTATTCTCACTAATTTCTGGATGTGTAGGAACTCAGGTGCTAGGTCTTTTTTCCTCTCCAAAAACCACTTTGGTTCTTCATCATCTTCACTTTCAGAGGAAGTCTCACTGAAATGCTGGACAAAGTCAGTCCCCATTGAGCGTTTCCTAAACAGAAAATAACACTTATGGCTACAAACAACAAACAGAACACAGCCATTACACCATTTCATGTCTTTGTTGAAGAATACAATTCAGTCTTTTGTACATCTGCCACCCTCCCTCCCTTGCAAAGGGACATTGCAAGGGGCATCGGCACAAAAAACAGTTAGACACCGTGGTGGTATTGTGATGTTATGGAGTTGAATGCATGCCCCACCCATGTCTCCAATCCCTGCTGTGGTTTACTACAAGCAGTTAGAGTCTAATGAAAGCAGGAAAAGAGCTTCCAGTGGAGCTTCCTCTGCCTTTACAAGGTTTCTATTCTAGAGATAAACAGCCAAATATGGTAACATCCTGTTGTCACAGCATGTAAAGTGGAAAAAATAAGTGCTGTTACTCCTCTTAGAATAATGTCACAGGGAGGAGGTTCGGGGTGATTTTCAGGCCCTACAAAATGACTGTCATGAAATGCCATTTAGGTTTATAACTTATTAGGCATGGGTCAAATTAACAGCACCTTTCAGCGGTAGAAGAAGCCTTTTGCAGATCTTCTATTTCTGCGTGCAAAGTTATCAATGAGGTCATTGATGCTGTGCTACTTCCGAGCTGAGCTGAGCTGAATTTATGATAGCCGGGAAATTAAATTGTTCCTGTGCCATTGACAAGCTTCGCTCAGCAGAAGCAGTTGTAAAGCCTACTTCATACTTCTCTTTCCGTGGTGGAGTGTGGCGCACACTCATAGACAGATGTGTTCTCTTCAGACATCTGTCTGCTGTCCCGCCAGGACAACAGAGGTTGTAGCTCTTTTCTGGGGAATCCGGGCTCCATTACAATTACGTATCCGGTCCAAGGTAGTGTATTTACTATTGTGTTTACATGGTTTAAATTGATTTCAGAGACTTTTTAACACGGACAAAATTATCCATCATTCTCCTCCACCTCTTTCATGCCAGCCAGTGTTGGGAAAGTTTGTTTTAAAATGAACGACCGTAGTTCAAAGTCAGTTTATACATTTTAAAACAAACTAGTTCAGTACACAATTTTAACGAAGTTCACTGTTCCTAAAACATACTAGTTCATAATTCTTTTGGATGCATCAAAAAAGTTCGGCCGAAAATGACCCAAAAGGCCACTTTGGCCCTCCCTTCATTTGGCAAATGAAGCCAGCGGAAGCTAATATCCCATTAACACACGCAGCTCTGAGGCTCATTATTTCCTTCAGTGACACGGGAATAGATTTTTCATCGGGCATCCACTCCCTTTCGCTCGGTGCACTAGTGTGCAGTTATTATCACGAGCTAGGGGGAGAGAAAACACAAAAGAAAAGGAAAAAGTCGCTGTTCAAGAAAATGCTGGTCTGTGAAAGTCTGTGAGAATGAGGAGAGCAGGAGGTCTGAGCCAAGTCCAATAACAGAACTGTTTGGATCACCACGCCAAGTCTGCCCTAATATTACTTTATTCATACTTTTAGAATTAATTCTACACAACAAAGCAATTTGGGCCATTTCAGTCATACTAATCAGGCCTTTTTTGGCTACGTGTTCAGGTTCTGGAATAATTAGCCTCTGTCAGAAAGGCTTATTTCCAGTTCCTTTTAAAGACTTGCCCTTTTACTTTTAGCTTTTTAACTTGGTTTTTAATAAGAGTGAGCTTTGGAGTTTAGACACTTCATGCAGCATCCAGTGGCCTGATTTTAGACCGTGTGTTTGTGTCTGCATGACTGTTTGATCCTTTTTATTCTGTATACCTGCACAGCCTTTTGGTCGCTCTGACTGTGAAAAGAGCTTCATGAAAAAGTTTGATGGATTGTGATGTAAAAGTATTAAAACACTTACATCTCCTGGGATGATGGATGTCCAGAGGAGGCCCCAGAAACGGATGCAACCTTCCTACTCTTTATTCCACTTTCTAATCCCTTCTTGTCTCTTTGGTTCTTGATGGGAATCATGTATTTTTTTTCCCGCTTTACAATATTTATTTTCAAAAATCATCTCATCAGAAACGTAGGAAAGTTTAGAATTGTTTTTAATTAATTTACCAAACAGTAAAAAATATTCACTTCTTCGTTTTTACCTATTGTAACTTTAAAAACCTTAAAGATCGACGGATATGGATTCCAGGAGTGACCTTACCTTGTGCGTGGCTGTAGAATTTCTGCTAGGGTTCTGTTAACGGTTTCTATGGAAACCGTGTCACCCGTTCTATGCCATGCCCCCTTTTGTTGCTATGATACTGTCAACAACAGTAAGAGATGAAAGGAGATCTCTCCAGTTTCAGAGGGGAGTTTCTATGGCGCAGAGAGCTTCTCATGTAGTAGTGATCACAGGGTCAAAGGGTCATTCGCTGCTGCTTGCTCCTCTGCAGCTCCTCTAAAACGGCTCACATGTGGGGCTTGTTGCTGCTTTTTATGGCAGGGGATTTTAAATTGTTGCCCTTTATTGAGGGGATTGTTGATGTTAATGAGAAACAGAGGCACAAAGTCCTGAACAAAGGCGTGGCTATGGGTGGGCCACTTTTTACCAGGGCCCCCAAACAAATGGCTTTCTTAAATTGCGTCTTTAATGGTATAAAAACATAATCTAAGGTCAAAAAGTTACTGTGGTTATCCTTCCAGGTTTTCAGATAACTAGCATAGCTGTTCACATTGAGTTAACTCCAACTAGGTTTTGGTGAGTGAGGGACCTATCCAATGTGGCGGCAAAGTGGTTACATTCCACAGCTAAACATCACCTCTGCTTGTTTAGTTTTTCTTTTCGTTCCCAGCTTTTGTGGCAACTAGCTTGTTGTTTCATGAGTGGCTAGGTACTGGTCTGTGTGGAGTGAATTCTGCCTCCAAGCCACGTCTGATCTAAGGATCTCTATTTTCATTAAAATCTCTGCTTATGTTTGAACCTGCTCACCTCATGCCTTCTTCCAGGTTCTCTTGCTCCATCCTCTCCCAAACCTGATCTGCAATCTGGACCCAGCGCTACACCCTGACTTGCAGCCTATTTCCCTACCTCTCATCTCTCAGCCACCTAACTGTCCCCTCTCATCCACACCATGTCTCCAGAATCTCCCAACTTAACAGGATTGCCAACAAGCCTCAGCTCCCTCCACGTCTCCCGGAACCCCTGGCATCCACAAACCTGACATGGACCCCTTCCCTGGAGCCGTCACGTCCCGAAGATCCTCCTGCTCAACCTTTTTGAAGCAGCTCCTTTAGTTCAGCCTTTTTTTTCCAAACATTTTCTGTTTTCTTACCACCACTGTCTCCTGGCTGATTCTGTATGTTGTGGGTCAGACGCATACCTTTGAATATGACAGATTCCTGACCGGCAGCAGAAGGCGGGAACATATCACGCCTGTCTTGGCTCATCTGCGTTGGCTTCCGGTTTCCTTCAGAGTCTGGTTCAAGCTACTTGTTTTTGTTTTTATCCTCTGTTTTTGTCCCAATGTACATTCTGTGGGCTCTTGTTTGGGTCAGTGATGTTTTAAATTCTTTTATGTGTCTGCAGAGCTTTGGTTCACCTTCTGGCTGATGAAAATAAAGTTGATGCTGATGATGAAAACAAAGAGCTTGAAAAGGAAAATGGGTAGATTTATTCCACTACACGTTTTACCCTTATAAAGCAGTTAATTCAAAGCATGTAATATTTACATATTTAATACAATTCAGATCACCTTCAAAACTCAGTCCCACACCCAGGGCCGCATCAAGGCATTTTGGGGCCAAGGCAGAATAGACCCCACCCCCTCACTTGCCTCCCCCAGAAGCCACTGAGTCGTACCCTGCCAGCACAGATCCCCTGCTTCAGTTGATTCTTCCATTTTAATAGTAAGTGGCAATAGTGAGTAGTTAGTAATAGTTAAAAGTGCTATAGCTAGAGAATAAAAACAGACATCTTTTCTCCCATTTTAGCTTCCTTACATTGGCTGCCTGTTAAATTCAGAATAGGTTTTAAGATGCTCCTCACCTAATTAGGGGTGGATTGTGACAATAATTCAGGCAATTCAAGACTTTTTAAACCATCCCAGGCAGCCACCCAATATCCGCAAAACACTAAAAGTGAGTCAGGTTGGGCGTCTACTGATGTAAAAGTGTAAAGCAACTAAATTAAAACTTCACATGCTCCCTGTGTTTTTTTTCTCTACAATGTAAATGTGTGTTGTGCTGCTATAATCTGTACCTATGTTGCATAAACTGAAATTATATTTAATTCTGTTAAACGTGCCTCCTGCACATTTACCAGGGTAGTAGATTAAGTAGAACAGACACCATCATCCACCTGAACTTGAGACTAACAGGTACCAGACCAGTTATACACGTCAGCACTGGGTCAACAGATTCACACCACAAGCAGAGGCATACAAAAGTGTGTGTGTGTGTGTGTGTGTGTGTGCGCGCGCGCGTGTGTGTGTGTTTGAGGGGGTGGGGGTCTTCTCTTTGCAAAATGACTATTCATTAGAGTCATTTAGGTTTACAATTTAGTAGGCACAGACTAAGTAAACAATTGTTCAACAATGGCAGAAGCCTACTGCAGATGCACACATGTCCTTCTTCTGGATTAGGGTTGGGCATCATTTGATTTTGAACAATTCCAATTCCTCGTTTCGATTTCGGTTCCTATCGATTCCGATTCTTTGAAGACATGACATGTTTAACATGAGCCAGCCAACCACAGGTCCTACTTGATGAAATAATCTTAACTTCAACATGAATTTTAATTCTATGAACGACAACATCACCTTCATTTAGACAAAAACGTGTTTTGGAGAAAAAAAGAAAAAAGACTTGCAGCACAACCAGTGTGTTTGTTTCTGACCACAACCAAAGTCTGGAACAAGCCTCTGGGATGAGAGGCTAAATGTCTCCAACACATCCAGAAACGTGCAGCTGTTTTCAGCTAAAACTCTCAGGATGATCATGTCCAGGATGACTGAGAACTACACCTCCATGCTGCAGAAGCGTTCAGTCAGAACAGGAAGTGAAACTTAAACATAGCTGCTGTCAGTAACAATCTAACAGGTTTTAAACATTAAAACTCAACAGAAATAGTTCAGAAAGGAAATTAAAATGTTCACAACTTTGTGTGTGATTTATTATTTTTAATTATTTATTGTGGCAGAAGCTGGTGTGGTCCATCACAGAGAAGCTGCTCTAGCATGATGACTTTAATTATTCTACAGGTTATTGTTCAGCCTTCTGATGCTCACGTGTCTGACTGCTGACGCTCCGTGTGTGTTTTTATTTCTGCAGTGAGACAAACTCACCTCACACCGTCCAGAGTTTGTTCTTTAAAGCTTCTATTAAATCCACCGTGTGTCAGGATCTGGGGTGAGTCTGCACATTCATCTAATCACCTTAAGTCGTTGCAGGTGGGCGGCTCCGGAGAGCGGCCAATTGCGGTGATTTCCCTCATCTACTACCTGTGTTTATAAGGAGCTGGAGATCACTTCACCTCGCCGGAAGATTACTCACTTTGGGTAGGTCTTGCCACTATAGTAAAACTACAGCTTTAGTCTTGCCTTATAACTGTCCGTCGTTGTTTTTTTTTTTTTGTTTTTTTGTTTTTTTTGATGACCTCTGCTTTCCCTTCACCAGGAATTCTCACCACGAACCTATTCTACAATAACCTGGTTTTTCTTCTCCAAGCCTGATCTCCCTCCTCACCCGAACCGACCCGCTCTCCCACCGCTCACCTCCCTTGGATTTTGGATTCTCGCTGACGTTGCTCACCCCAGTCCTGGCTACCCTCCCAAGCTCTGGATTTCAGTCCCCACAGTAAGATCTGCTACTAACTGAGTCCTGCAAATTCTATTCCCCGCTGCCCAACCCTGACAGTGTTTGTCTCAACAGACCCAGCCCCGGAGCTGTGCTCAACATCACCGCCACGTCTGGCGGTGCACCTTTAGTTCTCCTTAAATTAAAACATTTATTTTTTTCTACCTACGTCTCCTAGTGTGAATTCTGCATGTCTTGGGTCAGGAAACTTCCCTCAGTCATGACACCGTGTTGACGTATTTTAACAAGTTTCCTCTACGCTGCAGGAGTTAAAGTTTACATCGCGGAGTAAAAGTTCGGCAGACACGTTTGTTTAGATTTGGCCGCTGCGTGCCTGGTGGGGGGAGGGGGGACTCGTGCTGCACACAGACAGCTGGTGTGATCAGCTCTGAAAAGCTTTGATCACAATATGCAGATCACATTTATTTTTCATGGAGATCGGGCCGCGGATTCCTCTTTCGGTCGGCATACTAGGAATCAAAAAAAAACAAACTTTGAACGATTCCGGGAAAAACTAACAGTTGGAACCGGTTCCAATCAGTGCTCGATGCCCAACCCCAATAATGAGGTCCGCTGATGCTGTGAAGCTTCTGAGCTGAACTTATGACAGTCAGTCCACTCAAGTGTTCTCGTGCCATAGATGAGCCTCGGTTTTGAGATGCTCCAGCTAGCCGCAGCTAACAGAGAGAGCTAGGGTTCACTTCTATCTTATTGACCCTGTTATGACCAGAAATCCATCACACAAGCAGATTGTTTTCGCGTAAATGAAATTATTGTATATACTACAACAAATAATGATATGATTATGATATATTCTAGATATGAAATCTCTCTCTCTCTCTCTCTCTCTCTCTCTCTCTCTCTCTCTCTCTCTCTCTCTCTCTCTCTCTCTCTCTCTCTCTCTCTCTCTCTCTCTCTCTCTCTCTCTCTCTCTCTCTCTCTCTCTCTCTCTCTCTCTCTCTCTCTCTCTCTCTCTCTCTCTCTCTCTCTCTCTCTCCTCTCTCTCTCTCTCTCTCTCTCTCTCTCTCTCTCTCTCTCTCTCTCTCTCTCTCTCTCTCTCTCTCTCTCTCTCTCTCTCTCTAGACAGACTTAGGCCAGTATATATGGATGTTTTACATATTAGTTATATATACATCAGTAATATTACTATTCTTTGAACGGCTATGACCCAAAGACAATATAAGTCAGAGGAGAAGGTTTATGCATTTAACAAGAAATTTCATGAATGATAAGTAAGGCTGCTAATCCCTGGTCCACGTTCAGTCAGAATTCTGTCTCGTGCAGCAGCTGGGATGTTTTAGACTACAAAGTTGTTGTTTTTTCCCAACACCATACCCACTTTCACCCATGGAGGTCCGGCTGGGCACAGCCCGAAGAGATAACGGGG